AACGAGACAGCATTAACAAAAGATGACCGAAAAGAGTTACCAGAGCCAATCGCGGTGCAGTGGCAGTAGCCAAATCGCATACGTCTCCTCTGCCATGCATATTACAGTTGGTCAGTTTTGGCATAACCGCTTTTAGTTTTCGCTTGTTCTTTCGATGCGTGACCTGTGACTCGGTTTCACCAGAACTGAACCATTTTGTCGCCTATGTTAAGGCAATTCAGATGCTCCTATGCTATATTTCTGCGCTTCCTTCTAATCTCGTCAGCACAGCTGTCGAGGCAGGTAATTAAAGCGGCATGCAATTCTAGGTGTGTCGCTTTTGGTTAAATCCCTTATTGTATGTGACCCTTACAAAAAGCTGCATCTCGTCCTCGTTCCGTATATCTTTTCACGAATTGCCTTATTCATTCCCTCAAGCTACTCTGATAGAAAATTATCAGCAAAGGAATCCATCGAAAGTTACCTTTGAGCTATGTCTCCTCAAGGCCGTTGCGTTTGTCCAGTTTTCAAAAGACTTAGAAGAACCGCACTTGAAGGAAAGCTTCGGCGAAGTTGTGATTTCTTAATTCGTTAATCGGCTTGCCAGTTTGCATTCAACGTATAGTGGGATTCATAATATCTCAACGTTTTCGAGGTATACAGTCTGCAATAGATCAGCGTTCATAGACATCGACGTACAGAATGCGCCATTGATATAACAGCTGGCATGGGTAAGCTTTTGGTAGACAATCGTATTCACTGGAAAGGTTGAACTTGCAGGAAATAAGTAAATTACCCATAACGTGCATCACGTTTTAAAGAAAGACCGAATGCAGAAACTGTAGGTTTAAATAACGCCTATGAAGCTTTTACATTTTACTCGCGTACTTTGTTAACAGAGCTGTGATGTTGTGCAATTAGCCAGTATGGTAGATCGGTTGGCTGATCAGCAACGTCAATAACAAAATAGAGGCTCCAATCCAAAATTGGATCACTTCGAGCCCCGCTGCGTGTGGGGACAAGACGCAGCACTCGCTGCACAACTGTAAAGAATATCACTGCCGCACCAGAAGTTCAGTGAAAAGATTGTTCGTTGCCCGAAACAACACCAATTATTGAAATGTCATGAAAACAGACATCTCGACGGTTAGAGAATTTTCTTCCACCTTTAACATTTGACTGACATCAACTAACGTTGTTTAAAAGATAAATCGTCTAATAACCGTTGTCAGCACTTTTTAACGATACTGCAGCAAATGCTGCTATTCAGCTTACTTCAGTGGCAGTCTTTTACCTTGAGACAAAGGGCAATTACCACCATTTCCCGTTCATTGAAAAATAGTACTATCTAAGAGGGGTTAAAACATTCTCCAAGAGCGTAGCTATTAAACAGTTCTTGTTCCGGACTGTTTGCGATTTCGCTCAGTTTGTGCACCGAAATTCTCACAGCCACAGCATCAGTCTACAACATGACATTAATTGAGTTTTTTAGACTGCCAATCCACCGATTAGGTACAGCAAAATTTTCAATTCTTAGTCTCCAAGTACGATCACAACCCTTCTTTCATACGATGATAATTATCAACAAATCGGCAGATCTTATGCTAGTGAACTACTCGCAACATTTTCGATCTGTCAGTGTTTCCAGTTCTCCACCGACTTATATTGTTCACTACAAACGCCAGATTTGAACAGTCTTAAATTGGTCAACGCAGATACAAACTGATTAAAACAAGAGATTAATCGGCTGATGTCAGCTTTCCTGTAAAAATACTGGGCATGAATGTTCACTCCCCTGCATGACGGAATTTTTGTCAATTTTCAAAATGTTTTACGGTTATTCTAAACTCTATTACAGGAATTTAGGTAAATCATACGTAAACTAAGCGGACTGAAAGATCATGACGTAAACTTCGACTGGATCAAGAACCACCATATAAATACAGACGTTTCACTGCCATATTTTCAAAGCAACGTCATAATAATTTCAAAAAACCATACGCGTTAATACGCGCAGTGTAAGCATCTATGGACATACCTTTTCGCACAGCCAGCCCATGTACTTAACTTCAGGTACACCACCAAGCATCAAATTCACTTCGGCGTTTGCCTGGATCAGCAACGACGACAGACATGAATGTAATGTCTGGAACCAGGCTGTCGCTTCGTGCGCGTTCTGAGATCTGAAAGTGCACCATTATCGCAACCATAAACGATGCACGGAAAAACACTGAAAGCACTGAATACAACAACTGTAACAGCGGCGTTCAGAAATCCTCGACAACGCGAAATCGTCAACGCTAGAATAAACAGCAGAATTTGACCAGCCCCGCAATACTGACAGGAATGGGGCGTAGGTTGAGTTGGTCAATGACCATGGATACTAAACAAAATACGGAAATAAAGAGTTTCGATACAGATTAAGCCAGTTTTAATATATGTTAAAAGGCTCCTTTCACCAACGAGTGTCAAGCAGTTAGTTATCCAACTCTATTTTCGAGAATGAGCCGTTTTCCAACTTCGACTCCATGACTTACTGTGATAATTGATGGACTGGAAAGTGCCAAAGTGGATAGAAAAATAACGAATGCTATTCATGTGCATATCAAAAGACCCGTAGCAAAACGAGTTCACAAAGTTGCCGAAATTTGGTCTGAGGTGCTGATTCCCTTCTTTGTCATGGCTTTCAAGATTCAGTTAATTCTGCAATGAATGATACGTAGTCCCAAAGTATGAACCTAGTTGACGTAACTGGTAAAGCACGTAAGGAACAGCGGCTCTTGCACACACTGTTGACAGGCAAAGTATATATATATATGGTGAATGACAAAGGCGCCGCATTAAGCCGTGCAATATCCGACGGTCGGTAGGACATGGAGTTAAAACGAGCATTTTCTTTGCACAATTGCAGTGCTCTGAGTTCAAGGCAAGAAATCGTTACCATGTCGTGGTCTCCTGCGGAAGCGTTAGAGTTTGAAAGCAGCAAAAATGAGAACACAACGATCTGCCAGACACTGACCGATACCTGAACGTTATGAAGTGCCTTTTGTTGGGCGAACTGATTTCTATCAGCCGCTGCTCAGAGTCAGCATGCACCAAACTGCCACGCATAATGAAGCACATCTTCAACGGCACTGCCTGAAGGAATCGCTATGAAGCAGGAGTGAGACATACGCGAGCCATGGCTTGCGGCTCTAATAACCTTGAAGTCGGTCCTGGATCGGCTCTTCAGCGTCGATTTTGGCGTGATGTCCGTGTCGTCCTCCCAAACTAAGTCATTCAGCACGCTCTGCTTACGGAAGTACGGCATAACCTCGCGGATATATTTCACTAAAAGAAGCAAATGTTGAAACTGAAGAAAGTCATGCCAACGATGACGATAATCAAAGCTGCAGAGTATTCGAATGACCCGAAAACCTACCGCTCGAAACAGTCTAAATAAACACAAACCTGAAAGAAAACTACCCGGAATAACATACCCTCGAGATCGACTATCCTCCCAGCCCTCTTGAGTACGCGCACTGCTTCGTCATGAGTGGCATCTCGCAGCGATTCGCCATTGACCTAAAGCTTTGCCAAAAGTTGAAAAGCAATAAACTTTCTGAATAAACTGGATAATTTACAATTTACTTATAGCATTCAAGTCTCTTATACTGCGCCCTCAGTTTCAGACCTGAAAATACGTGCTTCATCATAAATATTTAAATATTGTTGTCTCAAGCAGCCATCTTTGTTTGACATTCAGGTATGGCCAAATCATATATAAACATGTATGGGTAATGTATTTACGAACAAGTACCAAGTGATCACAAATGAAAAGAGACTTATCGTACTTGTACGATCACGCAAAGTTACGACACTCCGCAGTTTCTGTCAGTTTGACACAGCTTACTATTGTACACCATGTAGCTGACAGATTTTATTCCTGGCTTTTCTGCCTATTGTCTGCCACTAAACCATGAATCTAGTACACAGCGTGTAATCGAAGACAATAACTATTAGTGTCCTGATCTTGGCAGAACGAAAGTCAATAATCTTGATCGTGATTAACTATTTAATAGTTAATAAATTCTTCCAGCCGCCTGTCCGAGCCGTTTAAGCGCCTGAACGCCGTATCTTCATCGATTTACCTGCAACGGAGTATTCTCTGCGACAGGTATATTCGTTCCCTGTCTGCTAACGAACCATGTTCCATAGCACACATCAGTAATGGTCGAATGGTTGCCAGACAAACACTGAATTACATCGAGATACTCACTTATATGCAAATCAGGCGTTCTCCACTCATTCTTAAGCACCTACTTCACAACTGCAACTATGATTATCGATCTACGAAATGTTTTTTGACACGATGCAGACCTTTACCATAAATGGCCATACAGATCACATCTTCTCCAGCATAGCTTCAAGACGGACTTTTCATTTTAGTTGTCTGGTCTCAGTTCGTGCCTGGCTTGACAATTTTTGTAACCGCTAATGCCCATTTAAATTCTTCCAAAATTGCTGTAAGGCGTCAGCATAGTCCAAACCTTGCTGCCGACGTCCTGATGGATGAAACGACACTTTGCTATTACAGTTCGTAACTGTCATCGTAATAACTTTATTCTTGCCTAAGACTGCTTTGTACCGAAAGTAACAGAGCCCCGTCCTGATCAAAGACGTGTATGCAATTTTTCCTAGTCCGTTGAGAAAACAGTTGCCGAAATGAATGCCCTTCTGCGTCCCCACTGACTCTTTTGGTTTGATCGCAAGAAAACGGCCTTGCACCACTACTGTGAGCGTCTTTTCTGACGACCTGGCCAACATATTACAGTTTTCCTTCTTGTCCTGTCATTAGGAGCAACAGGATTACCCGAGATACGGACTGTCCGTTCATAGTTTTGCAGGAACTAGTCAGAAGTTTGGTCAGTTCAGCTGCAACTTTAAAATGCTACTTTACACTTAGATCAAATAATCGAGATCCTGCTCCGTTTACATCGGATGG